CCTTTTCTCATATGCAGAAAGTTACCCAATGAGCCATTGAGATTTTGACACTATGTAGTGTCCTGTCTTGGCACAGGAAATAAACCTGTTTGCCATCCCTAGTCCTCTGCAATGTCCATGTTTCTAGTTACATGTGGCTATTTAAAATTATAATTTAATTAAAATGAAATAAAAGATTCAGTTCCTTAATAGCTCTAGCCACATTTCAAGTGCTAGATGACTATTGATTATTTCCATTATTGCAGGAGATTTATTGCTCAGAGCTGGTCTAGATGTTGAAATGTTTAAATTCCGACCTCCCCTTACCCCCACCATGTAGTTTTTCTCCATGTGAGGTCTGCCCACGTTCTGGAACAGAGGAGGAGGCTTAGGTTTCACTTTTGCCACCTCTCCTTCAGCCTGTGCTGTGCTCTTTCTCCATGAAACTCAGCAGTACCCCCACCAAGGGAGACCCATTGTGTTTTTGTTTGTTTATTTGTTTTTGATGTATTTTCTCTTACAATTTTCTTTCTTTTTTTAAAAAAAAATATTTATTGATTTCAGAAAGGAAGAGAGAGGGAGAGAGAGATAAAAATATTAATAATGAGAGAGAATCACCGGCTGCCTCCTGGGCATGTTCCCTGACCGGGAATCGAACCATGACCGTGACCTCCTGGTTCATAGGTCGACTCAAAACCACTTAGCTACACCAGCCAGGGATTGGCAAGAGAGGTAGTCATGGCAGAATAAATCCAAGACAATTTTCTGGAAGAGGTAATGTAAGCTACAAGTAAAGGGGAGGTGAAAGAAAGGCGGTCTTCGTGTCTTCAAACATGTGCTGAGCCCACCCTGGTTGGTGTGGCTCAGTTGACTGAGTGTCCTCCAGAGCATGAGGAGGTTGCTGGTTCCATTCACAGTGAGGGCACATGCCCCCTGCAGCTGGATCCCTGTAGGGGATGTGAGGAGGCAGCCTATTGAAGCACATCCATCCATGTTTCTCTCTCTCTCCCTTCCTCTCTCTCTCAAAATCAATTAAAAAATATACTTAAAAAAAATATATGTGTTGGCCCCAGGTAGAGGTTAAACTTTCCCACTTAATCCTCAAGCAATGCGAAGAAGGGGGTGGAATAACCCCTGTTTACACACTGGGGCTGTAGAGGTTATGTTCTCATAGCTAGTCAAGTTCCTGAGTGATGATCTGAACTGAGCCCTGGTGGAGATTCTGAAGGGAACAGAAGGTGAAGCAGAGCAGGAAGTCAGGGACAGAGGGGGGGGGGGGGGCAGGGGGAGGGGACAGGAAAGGATGTCCCTGGAGGGCCTGATGTGTGTTGGGGCTTCTGCTCATTACTCATCCTCCTTCACCCCTTGGGGCCTGACCCAGGTCCAGTTGACATCCATCTCTGAGCTCTTTCTCTGGAGAGTCTGGTGAAAATGCTGCCTCCCTGGGGAGAGGGGGTGTGTGGGTGGGGAGGGGGCGACAAAAAGCCATCCATCCCTGGGGTGGGTGGGGAGGTGGGCGCAAGCACAGGGATCTAGAAACTGCGCCAGGATTCCTGAGATGCTCTGTCCAGAGGTGGGAGCCGGGATATCTAGGCCGTGGGAAGCTGGATTTAGGGCTGGAGGGCGGTGGGCAGACCGCAGCAGGGGTGTCTGGGTCCTTAGGGTCATCTGGGCTGGGCCCTGGGACTTCTCCGGCCTGTTACTCCAATTTACACCCTATACTCTCCCCGCCCCCTCCCCAGGCCAGGGGTCACCTTGGAGGGCAGCTGCACCGCCAGGGGCCTCCTGCAGCTCCGGCGAGTGCTGTGGCCCTAAGCCCTTTCCAGGACAAGGGGGCGCTCTCAGAGGTTCCGTACACCCGACTGGCTCTCCGGGAGCCCGGGAGCCCCTCAGCCGCTCTCGCGGAGGTTGGGAGCTGATGTCACCGGTGCCCTGAGCGCCGCGGGCGGGGCCTCTGAGTGGGCACCCAGACGCCAGACGGTGCAGCCGGCTCCAGACCAGCGCGCTGCCTGTGGCTGCGTGGCAGGCGCAATGGCCAGGGCTAGGGAAGGATCCGTGAGTGCTGGGGCTGGGCTGCCAGCCAGGAGGGGCCTTGAGGATGCCTGTCTGTTCCCTCCCCGCTGTTCCTCCCCCCACCCGCCCCCCCATTTGGGGTGTTTGTGGAAGAAGCTGGATGCAGAATGGGATGGGGGTTGGCAAGCGGGGAAGCTTAGCAGAGGTGGACCATGGTGCAGACAGACCTAGCGGGGTTTGGGGGAGCTGTGTAGTCTCGGAGAGCTTCCCGGTGGAAGAGGCTTTGGGACCGGGTTGGCTTATTTCTGATGGGTCAGGAAGGGAAGCATGGATAGTGCTGAGGTAAGGGGTGATGAGAGGCTGGCTTTGCACAACGGCCCCGGGTATAGTGAAGGAAGAATTTGCAGGGAGGCCAGACAAGGCTTTTGGAAGCAGGAAGTTGGGGTATTCAGGTCTTGGGGACTTGAAGGCTGGAGCCACCAGGGACAGAAGCAAGAGCACAGGGTGTGGAAGAGGCCTGGTGTGAGGGAGAAGACAGGTTTGGGTGGTCACATTTCACCTGTCTCCCAACCCAATGCGGCCGTCAGCTTGCCTCCTGAGCTGACTGACTATCTTTGCACTGGGGTTAGTCTGCCACCTTCTCCTGAAACCTTCCCATCACTTAGCCAGAAGCAGACAGGGTCTATTTTCTGTGAGCATATTTATGCCATGACATAGCACTTACGGAGCAGCCATTAATGTCTGCATCTCTCACCTCCCAGCTGGATTTTAAATGGAGCCTTGGACAGCACAGGGACACTCCAGCGTTTGTTGGGTGACTGCTCCTGCTGCTGAAGTAGCATCACTAAATCTGCATCCCCATCCTTCACTGTACCATATGCTGGTGCATCACCTTCCTGTCTCACTGTATCCCCACAACCCCAGGTGGAGGGAACTGTTTCCATCTTCATTTTACAGATGGGGAAACCAAGTCTCAGGGAGGTTAATTAAATTGCCCAGAGCTTTCTCAGTAAGTTTCTTCCCAGCGTCTTAAGACTGTCAGGGCTGCGACTCAGACTCGGGGTTCTTGTGTCAAACTGGTGCTTCCCTCCTCTGCTCCGTTTCTAGACCTCCAGGGCTCCTTTCTGAGGGAAGAGGGTTTCCTGAGAGTCCCGGTGCCTCACCCAGTGCCCCCAGTCTGGCCCTGTGCACAGCCTGCTCAGCCCCTCACTCCTGACCTCCTGCGTCACCTGCCTTCCTACCCCCATTCCTGGCCTCTGTCCTCACCTTCTAAGCTCAGAGTGCCAGCAGGTGGCAGAACCCCTAATTTGGGGTGTGTATGGGGTGAGCTCTGTAGGTGGTATGCTCCTTCTCCACTGATCCCTTGCCAAGTAGATGATCCCCTCCCCCATAACTTGAGTCTTTGGGGTATCCCAGGATGGCCTTTATTGTCTGTGTCCATTCCCTTTAGTTGGTGGTTCTCAGCCCTAGTTGCACCTTAAAATCACTGGGGGGGCCGAAACCGGTTTGGCTCAGTGGATAGAGCGTCGGCCTGTGGACTGAGGGGTCCCAGGTTCGATTCCGGTCAAGGGCATGTGCCTGGGTTGCGGGCACATCCCCAGTGGGGGATGTGCAGGAGGCGGCTGATCGATGTTTCTCTCCCATCGATGTTTCTGACTCTCTATCTCTCTCCCTTCCTCTCTGTAAAAAATCAATAAAATATATTAAAAAAAAAAATTAAAAAAAAAATCACTGGGGGGAATTGTCAAAAAAACGTGCTTGTCCCACTCTTAAAGATTCTTATTCTGCAAGTCTGGTACTTTCTTTATTTTTAAGATTTAATTTTTTAAAAAGGCAACAATTTCCAATAGCATAGTAGTAAAGAAGGGTACATATGAATAAAGTATCATAAACCTGTTTTCCATTCCTGGCTCCCAGTCCTGCAACCACTACTATTTTATGCATATCTGTGTCAATGCATGTATATTTAGTACACAAATGGTAGCATGCTATAATATTGTTCTACTTTCTCACTTCATATACAGGGTGTCCCAAATAAATGTACACACATTTTAATAGCTGATAGCGCAATTTTGAAAATGAAATGTATTTTAAGAAACACTGCCTTTATTATTATTCAAAGCGTGTGTACACACTTTTTGAGGACAATCCTATATTTTGAAGATTGTTTCATTTATCTGCACACTCTTAATGTCTGCAATATGCCATGGTAGGGATGTGCTATAACTTATTTATTTTTACCTATCCCATTTTTTAATTTGTCAATTACTGTTGACATTCAATATTATTTTATATTTTATATGTACAGCATAGTGATTAGGCATTTATATAATTATGAAGTACTCCCCTCCCACCTCAATAAGTCTAGTGTGCTATAACTTATTTAACGAATGCCCTGTTGAGGACTTTTTAAAAAAAAAATATATTTTATTGATTTTTACAGAGAGGAAGGGAGAGAGATAGAAACATCGATGAGAGAGAAACATCGATCAGCTGCCTCGTGCACACCTCCTACTGGGGATGTGCCCGCAACCAAGGCACATGCCCTTGACCGGAATTGAACTTGAGACCTTTCAGTCCACAGGCCGACGCTCTATCCACTGAGTCAAACCGGTTAGGGCCCTGTTGAGGGCTTTTAATCTTGGTGTTTTAAAACAATGCAGCAATGAATATGACTTTGCCCACATGTATAACGATAAACTCGTAGATATTGGATGGCTGTATCAAATGATGTGAGTTTGTAGTTTTCATAGATTTTTCCAGCTGTACTCAAAAGATGCTGAAGAAATGTCTACTCCCCCCTTCAAAGGCATGAGGACACCTGTGTTTTTACAAGCTGCTCTGATTGTTCTTGGACAGCTGAGGTTGAGGGTCAACGCTTGCCCATGAGGAATCTGAAACATAACTTTGCCAGTTTCTCCTGGGCCCAACCTCCCCTTGGGGACGAGAGGGTGCTTCTGCCTGTTCCCTGACTGACATGTCCTCATCCTTCTCCCCACTCCCGCTAGGACACAGAGTTGCAGAGAAAGCTGGACCACGAGATCCGGATGAGGGAAGGGGCCTGCAAGCTGCTGGCAGCCTGTTCCCAGCGTGAGCAGACTCTGGAGGCCACCAAGAGCCTGCTGGTGTGCAACAGCCGCATCCTCAGCTACATGGGCGAGCTGCAGCGGCGCAAGGAGGCGCAGGTGCTGGGGAAGACCGGCCGGCGGTGAGCACGGGGGAGCGCGGCCTCCTGAGGGTGGTGGTACAGCATGTGTGTATATGGAGTGTGCACTCCCTGAAGCTGACCTCTTCATGTCAGGCCTGGAAGACACCTTGATGTTTCACCACTGCAATGTGCTGCCCAGAGATGCACTAGGGAGAAGCTGGGGCTGGACTCAGGAAAGCCAGGGTTTTTGGTGAGAGGGTGGCAGTCTGCAGAGTAGTAATGCAGAAACACTAATTTGCTAAGCCCTGCCTGTGATCTGATGAGGTTGGCTGGCAGGCTGGCTTCTGGAAAGCCTATTTTCTCAGTCAGCTCACCAGGCCATTTGCTGAATGGCCAACTTACCAAAACCTGATGATAGTTTATTATACCTCGGGTTCACCATCAGAGGCAGAGATTGGGAAAGGAAATAATAAAAAGTCATTTAGGGGAAAGCCTATCCCTTCACATAAATAAGATTGTGCATTCCAGAGGGGCTTGGCTTCTTTCTGGATGTGAAACACAAGCTATGCTAACATTGGACTCTGCTGATCTGAGAAATCTGTAGTGAAATGGTTGAGGTTATGCTCTAATAAAACTAAAATGTTTGAGAAAATATTTGGCAAGTTAATCATTCCAAGAATTGGCCATTTTTTGTAAACTGGTCATTTGTAAAATTGGCTTCTGGCAAAGTAATTTGCTTGACCCCACAAGGGCGAGTGGGAGAAGGCCCAGCTCAGCCATGAAGGCTGACGCAGGCGAGGTTGCCAGGAGCCTCCAGAGCTCACCCAGGAAGCCACAGGGAAGGCAGAAAACCCACTCTGCGCCTGTCCCATAAAGCTAAAGGAAGGGCAAGCAGGCAGGGGTCTGCTTCTACTATGAGTTTGCTGTCTCCCGAGAGGCAGCCATCACTAGTCTCTGCCCTGCTCACGGGGCCTAGTGTGACTTGAGTACACCCGAGTCCCTGACAGCTAACACGTCAGCTTGAGTGCCACATGGTTTAGCTTAAGGCCCGACTAAGTCACTGATTAGTTACATCACTGGCGGTATGAATTAGCATGGATAATACTCATTGCCTTCGCCACCTTAGGGGGACATCCTCAGTGAGTCCTGATGGTGGGCGGGGAGTGAGAAAGGCCGGGTGTCTGGGACCCTACAGTGGGGCACTGGGAAGGCACAGCCAGGAGGGTAAAGGAGAACTCAAAACTGAGGGAAGGAGAGAGGTTTGTGGTAAATAGAACACAAATGTTCCCTACTTGGGTTTTTTCCTTACATAACAAACTGGTCAGCTTGATTTTTCAACTGACCCAGTGCCCTCCTATATCTAAGAGAGATGAGATGAGATGGTGGAGATGACGAGCTGACATTGTGTCCCCAGCCTCCCCCAGGGTTCAGTCGACAACTCAGGCCCTCAGCCCTGCAATGTCAGCCTGGCTGGGGCTGCCCGGGCTGGGCGTGGTGGGTGGTCCTAGAGCCCTTGGGAACCAGAGCCAGGGCGGTAGTGTGTGAAGGCCAGACTGGGACATTGTGATTTGCCCACAGGCCTTCTGACGGCGGGCTGCTGGCTGAGCGCTCCCCCTGCCGAGGCCGCGTCTGCATCTCTGGTAAGAAGCACAACTACCCCAGCCCTGGCGCTCCCTGCCCAGCCACGAGGTCTCCTGCCCCATCTCAACATCTGTTCCTACCCCTCTGCCCCTTAGACCTCCGGATTCCACTCATGTGGAAGGACACAGAGTATTTCAAGAACAAAGGCGGTGAGTGTCACACAGACTGGGACACACTTAGGGGAGTGGCTTTGAGGTTGAGAGCTCCTGTGGGGCACTTTTCTCCAAATGGGTTTTCCTCTGTCCCCAGATCTGCACCGCTGGGCTGTGTTCATGCTGTTGCAGCTCGGGGAGGACATTCAGGACACAGAGATGATCCTAGTGGACAGGACCCTCACGGACATCTCCTTTCAGAACCATCTGCTCTTGTGAGTACCTCATCTGTGTGGCTCTCCTCTCTCCACTGCCCAGTGCTCTGGTGAGGCAGCTACAGGGGAGGGGGAGGAAGGGAGATGGGCCTTCCCAGTGGAGCTGTCCTGAACTCATACCACATCCATCCTTCCCCCATCCCTCCCTCGTGCCTCCCTGGACTTCCCCAGGACCATCCTCCTCTCTTCTCCCCACATTCCTACAGCACCGAGGCAGGGCCAGACTTCAAGCTGCGGCTGGAGCTGTATGGGGCCTGCATGGAAGAGGAGGGGGCCCTGGCTGGTGCCCCCAAGAGGCTTGCCACCAAACTCAGCAGCTCCCTGGGTCGCTCCTCTGGGAGGCGTGTCAGGGCATCGCTGGAGAGTACTGGGGGTTCGGGGAGCAGTCCTGTCCTGCTCCCCACCCCGGCTGTGAGGTAAGGCCATGCATTCCCCCACTGCCCTCACATGCCTATCCTGGCCACAGGCGACCTCTGAGCAGTGGGGAGCTTGTAGAACCTACTTTGCACTGCAGCCAGGATGTAGACAGACACAGATGAGCAGTGGCCACATGGGAGGCACTCAGAGCTAGACCCAAGCCAACTGATAACCAATAGGAGTGCAGGGAGAGCTAGGCTCTGGGTCTTCACTTTTTTTTGCAGCAGAGGCATTCATGTGGATAGAGCAGAGTGCCCTGGTGGAGGAGGGTGGCCCGGCTCTGGCGGTGCCTCCAGGAGTCTGGAAGCACCTGTGGAATACTGGGCCCCTGAGGAGCAATGTGAGAACATCTAGAGTAATGCACAGAATGCTGATTTTGGAGACATACCCAGGTTCAGACTCCAGCTCCACCACCTACCTATGGGCTATAGATTATGGGCACATTTTTTAACCTCTCTGCCTCAAGCTGCCTCAGCTATTAACTAAAGAATGCCACCCGCCTCCCAGGCTGAGGTGGGAATGCAGGAGGACAACATATGTAGAAAGCACAGGACCTGGCACTCAGCGGGAGCGCAGTGAATGTTCCCCACTCCCCGGGGGAAGGCAAGCTGGTTTCCTGTGTGGCTCTCTGAACAACGGGGCAGAGCTGCTCAGCACGATAGCTCCTGCCCTCTACCGTGGCCCTCACGTGCTCCTCACCTGGCTGAGGCCCACTTCTCTGCCTGTCCCGCAGTGGTCCTCGTTACCACCTCCTGGCTCACACCACGCTCACCCTGGCAGCAGTGCAAGATGGGTTCCGCACACATGACCTCACTCTCGCCAGCCATGGTGAGTTTGTGTGGGGGGAGCACGCTGGGTGGTGAGAAGAGGGGCCGTTGGATGGTAGGAAGAGGGGCCTTTGGATGACCCCCTCCTCATTCTCCACCCGCTCTCTGCACTTCCTCTCGCCCAGAGGAGCACCCTGCCTGGCTGCCCCTGTATGGCAGCGTGTGTTGCCGCCTGGTGGCTCAGCCTCTCTGCATGACGCAGCCGACTGCAAGCGGCTCCCTCAGGGTGCAGGTGAGGGCCCCGGAGGAGTGGAAGGGAGCACGGAGAAGGCAGCGGAGAGCTGGGTCACCTGGGAATTAGAACTGAAAAACCAAGGTCCGGGTGGAAGGAGGGACATAGCAAGACAGGAGGGGGGCAGAAAGGGGCAGATTCTTGATGGAGGGCTGGGAAGAGGGTGTTGGGAGGTGTGATTCCCCCAGGAAACCTTGAGTATCTGTGCAGCAAGCTGGGGAGCGGCAGGACTGGGCACGAGTGCACGGAGTCCTGAAAGGCACGGACCTCTTCTGTTACCGGCAACCTGAGGATGCAGACACTGGGAAAGAGCCGCTGTTTACTATTGCGATCAACAAGGTGATGGGTCCCCTGATGGTCAAGCCACCAGGTGCCTGGGCCTGGAGCCTCCCCTTCAGGTCCCACCAGGGTGGGTGCAGACCTTAGAGAGATCAAAGTCTTCTGGGCCTCACTGCACCACCCAACTCCAGGGCCAGGAATGATGAGGGGACCATTCTCCCTGACCAGCATCACTGGAAAAGGGTTGTCCCTTCTAGTTACCAGCCTCAGCCAATTCTCAGAGAGGGTTCTATAACTAGTCTAGGATTTTTCATCCACCTTCCATCTTTCCCCTCAGATTCTAATTTGCATCTACTCCATCCTTTCCTGGTTTCCTCTCCCAGGCCAAGTTCAGAGCCCCCTCTGTTCACCAGCCCTTTTGTTAGCTTTCCTGCTGACTTTTATGGAGGAAGTAGTGAGGGACATTAGGCCTCAGCATGCCTGCCAGCCTCTGTGCCTTCCCCTGCCCACCCTTTTCCTGTCTCTATGCGCCTCTATCCCTGACTAAAGGCCATCTGTCTCATCCCCAGTCCTTTCCGGCCATTCCTTCCCACACAGCTCAGTAGGAGGCAAATGAGAGGGTTTGGTGAACGCCCCACAAGCTCCTCTTTCTTTCTTTTTTTAACATAGTTATCGATTTCAGAGAAGAAGTGAGAAACATCAATGATGAGAGAGAATCATTGATCAGCTGCCTCCTGCACACCCCCTACTGGGGATGAAGCCCGCAGGTACCCTTGACCGGAATTGAATCCGGGACCCTTCAGTCTGCAGGCCTAGGCTCTACCCACTGAGCCAAACCGGTTAGGGCACGCTCCTCTTTCTAAGGCAGGATGATCAGGCTGATGATCAAGCCCGCCTGAAGTCACTGCTGACCTCTGTAACAACGTGGAGTTGGAAGCGGACGCCTTTTTTCTCCTGCAGGATACTCGAGTCCAGGCAGGGGAACTGGACCAGACCACAGGCCGGCCCTTCACTCTGAGCATCAGTAACCAATATGGGGAGGACAAGGTGACACACACCCTTCAGACAGAGAGTCGGGGAGCCCTGCAGAGCTGGATGGAGGCCCTGTGGCAGCTTTTCTTCGACATGAGTAAGAGTAGGGGGCTGGATTGAACTTTTGGGAGGAACTGGCATTTGTGATTTCTTACTGTAGGCCTCTGTTTCAAGAATACGTGGAAGGAAATGTCGCAGGGGAGAGGGTCGCCTGGCCCTCAGTCCTCTCCCTCTCCACCCCCAATCAGTGTTCTCCCTTCAGGCCAGTGGAAGCAGTGCTGTGATGAAATCATGAAAATTGAAACCCCGGCTCCCCGGAAACCACCCCAAGCACTGGCCAAGCAGAGGTCCTTGTACCATGAGATGGGTGAGTGCAAGTTTTCTCCGGGAAGCTGAAGGGAAGTGGGGCTGGAGGCGTCAAGGGAACCCAGACCATGGAAAGAGACAGAAGGCACACTTTGGGCCGAGGCAGAGCCCTGGGACTCGGGTCCCACCGCATCCTCTTGTGTCCCTTTCTTTCCTCTGACCTTCTCAGAACCACTCCCACCCAAGTTCAAAACAAAACCCCAAAGAACCAGATTCATTTCATGGATTTCCTTCCTAATTTCTTCTTTTTTTGTTTCCCTCTCTGCATGCGGATTCCTCTCTCTTCCTCTGACCTTTACTTGCCTGGCACGGCTTTCATTTTCCTTCTCTTTCTTGATGTCTTCACCCACGTCCCCACTCCCAATCTGTGTCCACCCTGCCTGCTGTATCCCATAGTCTTATCAGAGCCTGGAGCTCCAGGGGGCCCAGGTGAGGGGCTGCTCCTGCAGGATAATGCAATCTCGGCTGAGATCCGGGCTTTGCTTTCCTCCTATTACAGTGACAGGTGATGGTCAGGGCTGGGTAGACCTGGGGCCTAAGCTCTGACTAGCCCCCTCCCCTCAACCCCTTCCTGGCGCCACAGCTATTGAGCCTCTGGATGACATCGCAGCAGTGACAGATATCCTGGCCCAGCGGGAGGGCGTGAGGCTGGAGACGACCCCACCCTGGCTAGCCATGTTTGCAGACCAGCCTGCCCTGCCTCGCCCCTGCTCGCCTGCCTCAGTGACCCCAGCTCGGACCCACCCCCTGCCCTGGGGGCGCCCCAGAACATTCTCCCTGGACGCTGTGCCTCCAGACCACCCCTCCGAGGCTCCCCGCTTGGTTGCCCCTCTCCCCCCACACCGATCCCCACGTTCTAGAAGCCTCTGCCGCAAAGGCTCGCCCCGCACTTGGCTCCAGTCACCAGTGTGAGGAAGGTGCTGGCAGCAGGATCCGGCCAGGAGAGGAGAGGACCTGTGCGCCTGGGCTCTGGAGACGGTGCTGTCTGCAGCAGGTTGGCCAGTGGCCTCCCTTCCTCAGCTGGACTGGGGGTAGGTGGGGGGATGGGGAGCCGAAGCCCCTCTTAAGCTATGGTTGTCATGGTGCTGAGGGACTCATTCCCAGGGCTGGCTGGGGCCCCCCTGAACCCTTCCTGGGAGAAAACTGGAACCAACCCTGCCCTACCTCCTGCACTAACCAGCTTTGAGGATGGCACTGGAGAGCGCCGGGAGGGAACACACCTTCCTTGTGACTCCTTCATCAACCATTAAAGTTATTTAACAGCAGCCTTCACCTGGTTCTTGACGTCAGGTTGCCTCTCTGCTTGGCCCGGACCTGCCCCGTCCCCTCTTCCCTGGAGCTTAGTTCGCCGGCTGTGAAAGATGACTTGGATCCTGAGTAATTAGACACGGGCTAGGCGGAGGAGGCACTTTATAAACACCCCAGGGAGAAAGGAGGGCTTTTCTGTTCTCACTCACTGCTGAATGTCAGGATTTCAGCGAGGTCGTAGCCAGTCACAGCAAAGGAGCTGCCTGAGGGGTCACAGAATCGGGCGCCACACACCTGAGTGTCGGGCACACACTCGCCGTGACAGTGTTCCACCTGGGGGAGAGAGGGCTGCTCAGGGCCGCTGCCCCATGCTGGCCCTTCGCCCCCTCTCCACACCCACCTCGGTGCAGCCACTCTCTGTGCGTTTGCTCAGCTTCCAGATGTGTACAAAGGTGTCCTCGGCTGCAGAAAGTAGCTGTTAAGAAAAGGCAGGGAGGATGAGTGGGGGTCGGAAGGTGCTCACGAACTGGTCCAGGTTGGAGTGCTTCACCAAGCGGCAAAGACGAGCCTGTGGAGTTCCTCTCAGCATCCCCCCACCAGGAACCAGGGTGTGTAGGGGTGTAGGAGACTGACCTTGCCCACCTCCGGAGCCAGGTCCAGGGCACAGATGGCCCGGGCGTGGGCGTTGATCTGGACGTGTAGAGCTCCTGTACTGGTCTCATACAGACGCACTTGCCCGTTCCCGTAGCCCACTGCTGCGATCCCCTTCCACAGCTGCACGGAAGTGCATGGGACCCTGCAAGGGCAATGGCCCACTTGGATTTCCCCACACCCAAGCCCACTCCCCACCCTGCAGCTGCTTCAGGAAGTCCTCAGCCCCTTCGCCTCACCTACCCAAATCCGGGAATTCGGGTCAGTAATTTGAATTCAGGACCCGACCGCCAGACACAAAGCAAGCCTGAGTCGTCTGCTGTCACAACATCAGCCATGCAGTCCTGAGGGGAAAGGCAGGGTGAGCCCTTCCCTCTCTCCCCTGCTGGGTCCTGTGTACAGGGAAGGGAGGCAGTATATGCATCTTGGCTTCTCGGGAAAAGGAAGATACGGAGCCCTCACAGGCTGGAAGCAGGGTTCCCTCAGGAAGCATAAAATGCTTTCCTTGCATCCCTCACAGTCCCCCCTCGCCCCCCCAAACACACACACACATGTTAGGAGGGAGTATATCACTGTACTCAGTGGGTGGATGATGAAACTGAGGCCATAGTGTTATGACCTGGAGGTCTTACAGTAAGCCATAGTCATAACTAGGCTCGGCCTCTTGACTCCCAGCCCTAGGCAACCAACATAGCCCATGGGCTGGGCTCTGGGCCAGATTCAGTAGAGAATATGAATTAGAAGATACAAACCCCATTCTCAAGAGGTTTGCAATCCAAGAGTTTTCGTTGAAGACAGTACCAACTCAGGGGTCAGCTAAGGGGGATCAGTGAGAGCTGGAACAGGGGGAAGACCTCCTGGAGAGGGTGGTGCTGGAAGGAAGCTGTGCATGTCAGAGCTGGCAAGCATCTTAGAAGCCGTCTGTCCTGACTCCTCGATGCACATCACATGAGAAATGTTAGTGGACCACTGAAATGCCACGTGAAATACCTCTGGCTTCGTCACTGGACCTGAGGTGCTGAAGCCTAGGAAAGCGCAGCAGTTTGCCCAAAGTCATCCAGCTGCTTAGTGGCAGAGCCAAGACTTGCATTCAGGTCTCCTGCCTCCCAAGGGGGGGAAGGACCCCAGCCTCACGGGAATGAGAGGGGCTTTCACTCACCTGTTCCTGGGCAGGCTCGCTGGCGATGTCGGTGACTGAAGTCGGATGCCCCGCCAGCTCTTCACTCAGTACAATGTTGGGACCTTTGGCTGGTATGTCAAATACCAGTACCCGGCCTGACCACATTCCTACAAAAGCAGTGTGTCCTAGTCCTCCTGCGTCTCCGGCCACCACACTCAGAACTCCCTCCGTCCCAGAAGCCTTAGTAACAAACCCATCTCTCACTGCCCCAACAGTCCTGCCCCTCCATGACTACCCTTATTCTCCCTCACCCTGCCCCTCTGATCCCGTCCATGGCTCTTTGGAGTCTCTGCCCCCTTCACTTCCACCCTTCCCTTGAACCCTCCACAATTTCTTCAGACCTGCAGCATCTTCCAGACCAAAGCCCACACCTTTATACCCCAGCACCCTCCTTCGCCCCCACCCCACACACATACACACCAATGCCCTGCCCTCGGGCCTCTCACCTACACAGATGAAATGGCCACAGGAAGCAATTCCTCGGGCAAACATCGCCTGTACTGAGTATGAGAGGGGAAAACTATTAGAAATAGTGCTTCTTTCAGCCCCAGCAAACACTCCCTACCCACACCCAAGTCAGTCCTGCAGGTACCTGGAGAGGCATCTCTGGAGTCCAGCGCGTGCCAATAGACCATGACGGAGCCGTCAGACTCATACATCTGGAGGGACAAGGGCAGTTATGTCCTATACCAGTGGTCGGGAAACTGCGGCTCTTTGGCCCCTTGAGTGTGGCTCTTCCACAAAATACCACGTGCGGGCGCGCATGTACAATGCGAATGAAACTTCGTGGCCCATGCGCAGAAGTTGGTATTTTGTGGAAGAGCCACACTCAAGGGACCAAAGAGCCGCATGTGGCTTGCAAGCCGCAGTTTGCCGACCACTGTTCTATACTCATGTTAACCTTAGCCCACTGAACCCTCAAAACAACTCTGGCAGGTAGGCACTTTACAGAAGAGGACAGAGGCACTGATAAATTAAATTGCCCAAGGTCATACAGCCAGCAAAGGGGCAGATATTGGAGAGGGTACTTGGACATTTTTTTATTTTTTAAAATTTTCAGAGAGAAGGGAGAGAGAGAGAGAGAGAGAGAGAGAGAGAGAGAGAGAGAGAAACATCAACAATGAGAGAGAATCACTGATTGCCTCCTGCACAACCCCTACCGGGGATCGGGCATCGAGCCGCAACCCCAGCATGTGCCCTTGGCCTGAATCAAACCTGGGACCCTTCAGTCCGCAGACCAACGCTCTATCCACTGAGCCAACCCAGCTAGGGTGACACTTGGAAATTTAAAAAGATGGAAGGAGTGAGAACATTTGAGATCTTGTCCCTGGCTTATGCTGTAAGTTTGGCTCAAACTCTTATAAGAGTTTCAAAAAATAAAAAGCATTTAAAAAGATGGAAGGAATGAAGATGAGAAGTAAGGAAGAGTGGGCTAAGCTTGCCTCTAAGTAAGGGAGTGATTCGAGGCAAGTGCGGAAGGGCGTGGGTCCTTGCAGAGGAGTTGAGAAGACTCTAGTCCGAGAGGGCAGGAAGGTCCTCCTCTTACCTGTATTCCTCGATGTGAGGTGAGCACCAGCAATACTCGAAAGGGGAGGGCACACCAGTGGACCTGGAGGGAGGTGGATTAGAGTTGGGACAAGTGGTCAGCAGGGGACATGAGGACTCAGAAGAGCAGAAATTCAGAGGGTTAGGGAAGGCCTATTCCTTGAGGTTTGGAGAGGAAAGGGGGGGTTAGGACTGGGTTCAGCAACACCACTTCCAACCTCATTCCTCACCTGGGTGATAAGTGGGGAGCTCACTCCCGCTCCCTCCTTAGCGTGGAGCTGGCGCTGGGCCAAGGGCACACCCTCAGGAGCAACGCTGAGCAGCTGGGCGCTGGGTCCATGCACGACCCCAAAGTGTGTGAGGTTGCAGACCGGCAGCTGCAGCACACTCAGGTTGTTGCTCAGGGCGGCAGCCGAGCCTCGGAGAGGGATGGAACGCTGCCGGCGGAACATCCTAGGGGAGAGACGCTCCAATCACCAAAAGCTCAGGGCTAAACAGAAGACAGCAATGATTCCTCCCGGAGGGTGGCGGGTGCTATCATAAGACACTGGGGGAGACCCCTGAGACTGGGTCATGATGTAATGGGGAGCCCCAGAGGGCGGTCTCATGGAGCGAGAGAGTGGAGCCCCAGGCTGAGTCATGGACGATGGGGGAACCCTAGAGGAGGAATGGTGATGGCACAGGATCCGGTGGACCCCAGCGCCCGAGCCAAGGCGGGTTAAGGCAGGGTAGTCTCCAGGCCCTCCCACCCTCGGTTCGGCTCCCGAAGCCCCATGCCCGGGTTAGAGGTCACACCAGTAGCCCCTGGTCGGCTTGCCTGACTCCAGGATCGCTAGGTCCCTCCGAATCCGCCGCCACCATAGAGACGACGCACTTACGCAGGCCGATGGGCGGGGCGAACCACCGGAACCTGCGGCGCGCGGCGCGGTTGCCGGGGTAACTGTGGACAGGGCGAGCCAACCAGCGCACAGCGTGGTTGCCGGGGCGACCGTTAGGCGGCGGTGGCCGCCGGGGCGCAGGGAGTCGTAGAAACCTCGAGGTTGAACACAAGAGGCAGCGATGGCACACGAAAGCTCGGTAAGCTTCAGCTCAGCTGGGGGTGCGCCAGAGCCGGGATCTGCCTTTTAAGGTCGGTGTCGGGAACCATGGACCAGCCCCGCGATACCCGGTGCCCGCCCAGCACGCCGGCGTTCAAGATGACCGTGCGCCAAAAAACCTATGCCCACTCACATGCTTTGTCACAATCGGAAGCTGAGGGAAAAGATCGAATGAGGTGCAGAGTCCAAGAGCAAAAAATTACTTTGGGAAACAGCTAATGGATGTAATACGTCTCTTGCACTGAGGTACCCATTTAAATGGATTAACGAGAATTGGCCAGGGATTGGGGAGAGGAGTTGCTAGATAAATTATCCATTTCCAGAGTTTCAGGAGGAAGAAATGGATTAAATAACAACAATCTTGTGGCTGCACTTGAAAATCAAATTGTTTTAAAACAAGATAATTTAAAATAAAACATTTGAAGAACCTTTGTGTAACAATATCCCAGGCCCCTCTGGTCAGGCCACATCTAGGCACAAGAGAGGCTCTGAACCCTAGCCGGTTTGGCTTAGCGGATAGAGCGTCGGCCAGTGGACTGACGGGTCACAGGTTCGATTCCGGTCAAGGGCACATGCAAATGTTGTGGGCTAATTCCCCAGTAGGGGGCGTGCAGGAGGCAGCCGGTTTCTATCTTCCTCTCCCTTCCTCTTTGAAATCAATAAAAATATATTTTTTTAAAAAGAGAGAAGCTTGGAGGGGAAGTCTAAAGAACTGACTCTCCTCGCCCAGCCCTACCTGGCCTGCGCTGTCTTGAACTGGTGTTTGGGCTGTTCTCACTGGCAGAGAGGGGAAATGAGGGTTAAGGGATTTTGAGTCCCTTGTGAAGTTTAGAAAACATCAGTTCTGAGGGAGAATTTTAGGGAACATCAGGTATCAGTGAGGTTGGGGGTGAGGAAGCTAAGGTTTGAGAGATTCCATCTGGAGGTAAATTTTGGAGGGAATCAGGTTCAAGTAGACTCTTATGGGGAAGTGAGGAGGCTCCCAGGAATCTACTCGTAAATTCCTATGTCCTGAAATTAACTTGGGACCTAGTCTTTATCTTTTTTAAAAATAAATATGTTTTTATTGATTTCAGAGAGGAAGGAAGAGGGAGAGAGAAACATCAATGATGAGAGAGAATCATGGATTGGCTACCTCCTGCACGCCTCCCACTGGGAATCAAGCCTGCAACCTGGGCATGTGCGCTGACTGGGAATTGAACCTTGACCTTCTGGTTCATAGGCCAAGCTCAACCACTGAGCCACGCTGGCTGGGCATCTTTATCTTTTTAAGTAGATTATTTTCTTTTTTTTTCTTCTTTTTTTTTTTAATATATTTTTTATTGATTAAGATATTACATATGTGTCCTTGTCCCCACGTTACCCTCTACCCCCCCCCCCCCCGCTCATGCCCTCACCCCCCCGTTGTCCGTGTCCATTGGTTAGGCCTATATGCTTGCATATAAGTCCTTTGGTTGATCTTTCCCCCTTACCCCTACCCTCCCCTACCTTCCCTCCAAGGCCCGACAGTCCAATCAATGCCTCTCCGTCTCTGGATCAGTCCTTGTTCATCAGTTTATGTTGTTCATTATATTCCACAAATGAGTGAGATCCTGTGGTATTTATCCGCTCTCCAGTTCCATCCATGCTGTGGCAAATGGTAAGAGTTCCTTTTTCTTCTTCCTCTTCTTAAAGAATACCTTTCAGCATTTCATATAATGCTGGTTTGGTGGTGATGAACTCCTTTAGCTTTTTCTTATCCGTGAAGCTCTTTATCTGACCTTCTATTCTGAATGATAGCTTTGCTGGATAAAGTAGTCTTGGTTGCAGGTTCTTGCTATTCATCACTTTGAATATTTCTTGCCAGTCTCTTCTGGCCTGCATGGTTTCTGTTGAGAAATCAGCTGACAGTCGTATGGGTACTCCCTTGTAGGTAACTGACTGTCTTTCTCTTGCTGCTTTTAAGATTCTCTCTTTATCTTTTGCTCTTGGCATTTTAATTATGATGTGTCTTGGTGTGGTCCTCTTTGGATTCCTTTTGTTTGGGGTTCTCTGCGCTTCCTGGACTTGTAAGTCTATTTCTTTGACCAGGTAGGGGAAGTTTTCTGCCATTATTTCTTCAAATAGGTTTTCAATATCTTGCCCTCTCTCTCCTTCTGGTACCCCTATAATTCTGATGTTGGTACGCTTGAAGTTGTCCCAGAGGTTCCTTACACTATCTTCATATTTTTGGAATCTCTTTTCTTTTTTCTTTTTCGGTTGGGTATTTTTTGTTTCTTTGTATTTCAAATCTTTGACTTGATTCTTGGGATCCTCTTGTCTGCTGTTGGATCTCTAAATTATTCTTTATTTCAGTCAGTGTATGCTTAATTTCTAGTTGGTCCTTTTTCATGTCCTCCATGGTCTCACTATACTTATTGAGGGATTCATTAAATTTATCGGCGGTTTCCATAAAATTCTTGAAAAACCTTATAAACGTGGCCTTGAACTCTATATCCAGTCGTTTGCTTTCCTCCATTTCTGCCATTTGTGACCTGTTTCTTTGTCTCCGCATTTTGGCAGCTTCCCTGTGTTGATAGAGTGGCCCTGCGTGCCAGGTGTCCTGTAGGACCCAGTAGCTCAGCCTCCCCAGTTACCTGGGGTGGACACTCTTGGTGCACTCTTGGTGCCTTGGTTGTTGTAGGATCACTGGGAGGTATTGACCTCCAGGCCAATTGGCTGTGAGAATCAGCTGTGTCTAAAGTGGGAGAACTTCTGTGCTGAAGACACCCTTCTGGGGCAAGACTTGCTTCAGTGGGGCTTTGGTGCTCACTGAGTCTGCTCCCTGAGTGTGTCCCTTATGGATCTGAGGAATTGCAATCTGGATGGTCCCCCCCTGACCACTGGGTACAGTGGCTCCTGGATCTAAGGAGGTGCTAATTCAGCCTCTGCCTGAGGCCACATAGCAGGAGCCACGAAGAGGCTCAGCTGTGAAGCAATGCAAGCGCTGCGGGGCCTTGGGCCTTCTCTTGGAAGTTCCGGGTCTGCCTGGTTCGGCTGCAGTTAGGTACATTCACATGCAAAAGCCTCTGCCGCAGCCTGGGTGGGGCGGGGTCTCAGGGAGTCAAAGAGCAGAGAAAGCAGCTATGGCCGATTCTCCGCCCGGAGTCGCGCGTCTCAGAGTCGCGCGTCTCAGTGTCCCAGTAGTGGCTGCAAGCACCTCTGAGGGAAAGCCGCACTCAAGTTCGCCCGCTGCCCGAGAGTCCGCTCCTCCCCGTATGAGTCCTGAGTCCCCAGAGACTTCCCAGAACCGGAGTTCAGAGCAGTCGGGAGTTTGTGATTCAAAAAAACAGCCGCGTCCTCAGGTGCCACCCCCTTTCCGCCCGCGCGCGTGCGAGCCGCCGTACCTCTGCACTTCACCTCCGCAGCTCCTCTCAGCGTGCTTTTCTTTCCTTCTAGTTGTAGAATTTACACTCAGCCAGCCTTCCTGTTGTTCTGGGTGATGTCCACTCTGTCCTTTAGGGTATTTTTCAATTGTTGTGGGAGCGGCAATTTCCCGGTGTTTATCTATGCCGCCATCTTAGTTTCTCGATTTTTTTTCTTTTCTACTGCTGCCCATTGCTCCCCTGGTTGCAAGTCTCGTGGGGACCCTTAGAGTTTAGGAGATGTACACCTGAGAGGGAAGAGAGGCATGGGCCTACTCCCAGGAGGGAGAGAGTGCCCTGGGTCTTTTGCTTGAGGGTTTCAAAGACTGGGAGTTTAAAGGAGACATCTGTAATGTTTTCAACAATAAAGATAAGTTTAAAAAATAGCCTGGTCGGTGTGGCTCAGTGGTTGAGCATTCGACCAATGAACCAGGAGGTCCCGGTTCGATTCCTGTTCAGGGTACATGCCAGGGTTGCAGGCTCAAACCCCAGTGGGAGGCATGCAGGAGGCAGCCAATTGATGATTCTCTCTCATCATTGATGTTTCTCTCTTTCCCTCTCCCTTCCTCTCTGAAATCAATAAACAATATATAAAAATAAATAAATAAAAATAAAAGCTGGGAGTTTAGGGGAGGTCTTAGAGGAGGCACACAATAGAATATTTATCAGCTTCATGCTGATGAACCAAAAGGAGATTTATTCCCTTAACTTCAACTGTCCTTAGGTGTGGTTGACACAAATGACACTAGTTGGATTTCTGCTATCTATCTCCCTGAGCTTATAAAATAGAGAATAGCATAGGAAAGAAACATACCCACTGTTACAATTTTGGTGTTTTCCTTTTCTTCAACACATACAGGTTTACATTATCTGAGACCATACTTGTTCTTTCATTTAACATTAAATCTTAAGTATTTTTCTATGCTTTTGCAAATTCTTCCTAAAGATTACCTTTAATCATTGTATAATATTG